ACTCCTGGGACCGTCATTGGCCGTAATAAAGCGAAATTTAATCGTATATTAGTGAACGCATCGTGGCAATCCTTGCTCGAAGTTGATCACGGTAATATAATTGAAACATTTTCTTTCTACGAAAATTTCAAATTATACTTATCTATTTATAGTTTTGGTAATTGTCGATTCACACAGGGCGGAATGCATGAGCACATATAGTGAAAGTTGCTTGTTTAACCGATTAAAGGATTATGAATTACCGTCAACTTTGGTATTGAATAAGGTAAATGAAGCACAGCGCAGCGTATAGAGGCGACGAGTTGTGAACTAAATAATGCTAATATCATATATATATTCGTTCATAGGTTGACCTATTACAACAAACAAACCGTGCGGATACATTACGGCGTTTGGAGGAAAACTTTAGAAATCAATATCCATTTTTTAAAAAAATTGTTTGTGTCTCAGCACTCGAGAGACAAGGATTGGATAAGTTAAAGGTATATTTTATGAATAATTATTCTTTGGATAAAGATACCACGCGTAACTAATTAATTTATTACATTATTCATATGTTCATTAATAAAGGAAAGTCTATTTTCATATTCATACGATCAAGAGTGGGTGTACCCGGCAGAAGTTAAATATGAAATGGCCGATTTAAAGAGGGTTGAAGATCTGATCAGGGCTGAACTATTGGATAATTTACGTAGCTATTTGTCATATTGTGTCAAGCAGGTTGAATGATCTTTATTTTTTCGTCCGTATTTGTTTCTCTTACAACTTTCCGACGCGCATCACGTAGAGGATATGAAAAGACGTGTGTGAATAATATCACCAATGACATAATTCAAAGTGTCCATTCTTTTGATCGATTTCGAATAGGAAAACGAAGGATGGACCTTACTCTCGAATGGCACTCTAAGAATCGATCAAACGTTATATGTCGAACGTGAATCTCAACAGGCAAGATATATATAACATACCATTCTCCTTTAGGGAAATATGATTTAGATTCTGATTTACGATCTTATCAATTAAACAAACAAATTATCAGAAAATCGTTATAGGTAAAGAAGGAAAAACCATTAAGTTAATAACGAGGAAGGCTAACAAAGCGATGTTAGATGCATTCAAGAGACCAATTAAGTTGTATTTAACTTGTAAGGTTAAAAACACAGAGGATATTAGGAGGAGCCTCTGATAACTTGAATTTAGTAAGAATAAAAAACCGTTGGTTATCAAAAATTGGATTTCATTCGTCAGAAAGGAATTTGGTGTTGAAAAATTTAATAATATTAATTTTTTTTAAAAAAAAAAAAACTCAAAATGGGTGATGATAGTGATGTAAAACAGTACTCTTTTGATTAAAAGTGGTTAATTTATCATAAAATGCTTAAACTCAGCAATAAATATCCCCAATTTCGGTTTAATTTAATGAGTCAGTTGTAGTGTTAAAGTATATTTATCAAAAATCATCGGCTTTTCGCGTAAACAAAATCATGTATAAATACCTAAAACAGTAAAGAATTTTAGACGTGCTATTAAAAGGAAAAATTTTCATTGGGTACCGGATAATAAAATTACAGATTTACAAAAAAAGGAATCTCTACTTAAACATGTCTGACAATGTCAATACACTAAGATTTGTCAAACTTTGATTGGATTTGTAGAGTTAGATTCTAAGCCCTCGCCCAAAAAATTAATTACATACTTATTATTATAATTATCCTTGCAAAAAAATCAACACACTATAAACTTATGAATTTCGAGCAATCAAGAAATAATATGGACGACCTTCCAATAAGATTCCAGGAGTTCTGTCAGGTACTGCATCTCAAATGTGTGTACTCGTAGTAGCCCGAGATTGCGATCATAAGGATGCACCAATTTTCATCTTGAACAATAAATCTCGAAGATTCTTTTAGATTGCAGAGCTAAATTCGTCTTTTGACATACTTTTTACTAGCTTACCGACCTAGGCGTCAACCAGACAAGCATCGGATTTAACACTTTAACGATGGAGTCGGACCGTTTCATATGCGTGCGTGAAGCACCAGCAGAGGGTTCGAACCAAGTTGTCATAGTTGATCTCAATGATATCCAAAATGTCATGAAACGACCAATCTCAGCAGATTCTGCAATAATGCATCCTACCTCCAAAATCCTGGCTTTGAAGTGTAAATTTTTTTATTCATTCATTATTCTTTGTTTTAATGTTAGATTATGAAACTAATTAACAAGATTTAAATTATTTACGGTATTCAGCTCAGAGACAACTTCAAATTTTCAATCTTGAATTGAAGGCAAAGGTCAAATCTCATTTTATGAATGAAGATGTGCTTTTCTGGAAATGGATTAATATCAAGACTTTAGGGCTCGTGACGGGGACTGCCGTCTACCATTGGTCAGTAGAAGGCGAGTCAGCACCAACCAAAGTTTTCGATAGGCACCCGAGCCTTGCAAATTCTCAAATTATCAACTATCGAGTAAATTCCGATGAAAAATGGATGGTTCTTGTTGGCATATCGGCGGTGGTCAGTAATAGGTTGTCTTCTACTTTCTAATGTTAAATTTTCAGAATGATCTGATGTGATCATTATGTAGGAGGGGAGAGTCGTTGGAAACATGCAACTATTTTCGAAAGAGCGTCAAGTCAGTCAACCTATTGAAGGTCATGCTGCGGCATTTGCTACTATATTATTGGAAAATGGTGTTTCTCCAACAAAGCTGTTTACATTCTCTGTAAGAAATGCATCCGGTGCAAAGGTAATATATTGCAACTTTAATGATCTGTTATTTTTGTTTAAATTTTAATATAAGTTCTTTTTTTGCCTGAATTTAATATTTTAGCTACATATCGTTGAGGTCGATCACAAGGATGAAAATCCGCAATTTCAAAAAAAGAATGTAGACGTCTTTTTCCCTGCAGAGGCGGCTGCCGATTTCCCTGTTGCCATGCAAATCAGCCCAAAGTATAACATCATCTTTCTTGTTACCAAATTTGGATATATTCACTTATACGACTTGGAGAGCGGGACGTGCATTTATATGAATAGAATAAGTAGTGATACCATCTTTGTGACCGCGGAGCACGAAGCAACTAGTGGAATTATTGGAGTTAATCGAAAAGGCCAAGTCCGTCTAATTTCACGG